CAGAGAAAAGCTCAGGCAGGCATATCTTGTTAGTTATAATGAAGAAAATATGACATGTTTGTCACATGATGACCTTGCACCCAAGCATGGGAATTTAACTAGTCCCTGGTATAGGGAACACCATTAGCTGGCAGCCAAAGTTGCACTATCAGCCCAAAATGCTGAAAACATCCTTCTGCCATCCATCCATCCATCCATCCATCCATCAAAAACCTGTATTAACTATTGATTTGAATGCAGTTGCTCCTACTAAGTTTCTGGAAGACACAATTTCAATAAAAATCTAAGGTAATTAAAATTGGTGTAACAAGCCCAAAGTGTGTGTGGAAACAGCAAAATTTGATCAATGTCAAAATTCAATGATTCATGTTGTAAATTTCCTGATTCAGCCTGTCCTTTCACTCATTAAAATTGTTTTTCACCAACAAAAAATTATGAAAATCATACGTTTTCATTTTATGCTATATTTTTCATAATTTAGTGAGATTCAGTCCACAAATGCTGGGAAGAGGTCTGACAACTATTCATTGCAATTGTACACATGCCTTGTTAATAGATTGAAACCATGAATCTGGAAGCACTTTTGAACAGATTTTTTTACAAGGGAAAGAACTCCCCATAAATCTTCTTTCTTTATTTTTCTCTTATACAACACTGTGGAAAGGAAACTGATGGATGCAGTAAAAGAAGTAAAAGTTAAAAAAAAAAAATATAAAGTAAAAACTTTACATTTCGTAGCTGAATAATATTTATTTGAATTTGAAGAAATATAATTCATAAGCAATATTTCAACTGGACTAATTTTGTAATATTGTTGCAGTTCTTTTTTTGTTATATATTCACGTACACTTATTCTTTGTCATCTATTAATGTTGTTCCAACTCTGAATGTTCAATTCTAATACAATTTTCAGGTAATGCATTATCTAGGTTTGTGCAGTCTCACCTCAAGAATATACACCTTTGGGAGGATCCATTCAGCAAAGTAGAAGAATTAATAAGTCAGGTAATCAAACTTGTAAGACCCCAAATACTAGAATATGAACTTTCTTCTTTTTGGAGTTCTTTTTCTCATTTATATTTTAAAAATTGTTTTGTTAGGGTATCAACATTGGAGAAAAATGGATTCATACATGTGAACGCCTTACGTCATTATTTTGGCCAAACTACACTCCTCATCCATGGGAAGGGCCACCATATTCTCCTGTTTATGTCAAAAATTTCGTGAATCGACTTCAAGAAGTAGGTAACAAGTTTTAGGTTGCAAATGACAGTTCTCTTGAACTGATGAGTGTTAATTTAGATATTGCAGCGTAATTGCATGCGTTTATGTTGTGAAACACAAGCTTCACTCTCCAGGGTCTTCAATTTAGATAAGTAGGAAGAGATATGATTACCAGGAGGCCCAGGTGTACATTTTTGAGGCATATTGATGATATATAATTAAGCTTTAGAATTTTATTATTATTGAAACATTTTTGAATACAAAAAAAAAATTTCAGTAAATTAAACAAGTAAATTAAGAAAATATTAATAACCTGAACTACTTACTATCAAAAGGAAAATTGATAAATATGTACAGAAATTGAAATGTAAACTTGGCATTTGAAGAATTTATTCATCATTTTTATTATATTATCATACTAACCATACCAGTGAAATAAAAAAATACAAATTAACAAAAAGGACAAAAAGGAATGTCACAAAAGGTATTCATAAGTCTAGTCAAACTCTGAGAAATCTTTCGAAATTTAGAAAGAAAAAGAGTGTCAACAGATGTTCCAAAGTACCTCAAAGAATATGAAAGTATCCATATATTTAAAACACTAAGGGGTTTTCATTTAGAAAGAAATTTGAGCATTCTACTGAACCAAATTTTGTGATTAATTTTTCTTCATAAAAACACAATAGTAATTTACATTATTTCCAACTTCTTTGAATACTGAGAGCACTATGTTCTGTGTTTGTTTTGGTGTACGTAAGCAAAAGTTGTTTCCATATTGTTTTTTAAATTGTAGTAAATTGAAAAATAGTAGTACTCCAGTGTAATAAATTGAAAAAATCTGGTATGTTTGCCTACTGCTTTTTTAAATATTTTTCTATTGCACATCCATGTTTCTATTTCTTATTTTATATTGCATTTAGAATGTAGTCATATTAGTATTCAAAACCATGTATGTTTGTAGTTTCTATTGTTCTTGTATTTACATTGTTAACAAATCTGTGAACCTGCTGGGCAATTGTATTTGTAAAGTTTACTTGTAAGAGTTCCGTTTTAACTAAAATGACTTGTGGATAATGGACAGATGAAAAATGAATAAGTAATGAATAATGAATTAATAAATAAAATGATAATGAAGATAATAAGAAAATCGCAAAAAATGTAGTTTACATTGTGTGATAATTGAATAATTACATATTCTATATTAGGACATTTTTTGACCTCAGTTTACATTCACATTTTTAAGATCGTACATTAACTACTAATATTTTTGCAGCAACATTTTTAAAATGCCAGTTCCATATAACAAAACTTAAATTCATTCTGTATTTTCGTTGATAGATTCTTCGTCTAAGAACATTACATAGGCAGCTCATACGATTATTGTCAAAATCAGAACAGCTTGAGTTAGGAACGAATGACAGTTTCAAACCCTTTGAGGGCCTGACACCTGTACAATATAATCCATATACTGAGTCAGAGTGGCAAACAGCTGTTCAAAAATTTGAGTCATCCTTACGGCCAACTGAAGATAGGGTAGCATCTAAACTCAAAATGCAATTTAGAAGTACCAAAACTAATACTCTTCAGGTGAGTTATTGTTATATTGACCTTTTTCCTTATGTGAAGTGTTTCAGCATTATTGCAATTTCCAAACAAAAAAAGAATGACTAAATAAATAAATTGCTATTATGTGATACTTATAGCTATTGTATGAATTTCAACGCTATGAGGAGCTCATTCAGCGAA